GGTCAGCAGGCATGATGGGGATCAAACCCCTGCACTGCGCTCTGCCAAAGCAGGCGCTTTTTTTTCTGCTGAGCTACCTGGCTGGCCCTTTCACAAGCTGTGTGTTTTTTTGTTTTTTTTTTTTCAGAACCTGGGATTGAACTCAGGCTCTTGTGCTTGCCAGGGAAGCACTTATTCCATTGAGCCATCTCCCTGGCCCCTTTCACAAGTTTTTGATAAGAGTTAAGATGGACCCCAAGCTAGCTCATTCTCCTGTCTCATCCTCTCTGAATGCTGGGACTCCAGATGTACGCCACCGCCACTATGCCTCTCCATCGGGAGGGAGAGGGAAGCCTCAGGGCAGGGTTGCATCTGTTAGCCTGGCTGGGGAAAGGGGGCACAAGCCAGGACAGTCAGCTTCCAGCATGAGGGGCACTTGTCAGGGAGGTGCCTGCCAGCATAGGCAGCAGCCGGGCAGACCCAGAATCCTGTCTTCCCAGCTCCACAGAGTGGGTGGAGGCTGTGATGGATGTGTCCCTTCCCTCTTTCCCTGGGCCCTCCTGACTCAGCGGCCACAGCTCTTCCGGAGGGCTTCCGCTAGGAAGGGGGTGGGGGTCCAGTTCTGGCTTGGGGCCACCAGCGGCAAACAGGAAACAGGAGAACAAAACGGCTCCCTGGCCTCCTCCCCTGCTTCTGCACACCCAGGCCCTGCCTCTCACCCTCCTTCTTGGTCAACTCTGGCTGCCCACCTGCTTGGGGGTGACCGCCCTGGGTCACCTGCCCCTTCTCCAGTGGGGGCCTTGCCTGGGCTGAAGATGACAGGATGAAGAGGGAGGGAACGGGCTTTTTTGTTTCAGTCTCCTGCCGGCAGGCTCTAGGGAGGCCTAGCCTGCAGCTGCCACCCTGGGCTGCTGACTGGGGTTTGGGGGTCAGACCCAAAGTAAGAGCTTGGGACTCAGACCATGGTGTCCCTGTGTGCTTTCTCCATACGCTGGGCTGCAGTCCCAGTCCCAGACCACACGGCAGCAGTGCAGAAGGGAACAATTTGGTGGGACAGGAAGAGGGGCTGAGGACACACGCACCCCACCCCCAAGGCTAGGCAGCCCTGCCCAGGAGGGGAAGGAGCCAGGAGGAGGGCACCAGAAGGGGGAGCAGGGCAGGCCTGGCATAGAGGAGGCTTCCTGTTTGACTCACACAGCCTCTGGGGCCCATCCTGGGGTGGGGGCTCCACCAGGGGCCCCAGGTGTACTGACCCCAAGTGGGGTGTCCGTCTGTGGGCAGGGGCTGTGTGGGGCAGCCTGCCAGGGACCTGTGAGCTTGTGTGCCGTGTTGCACACTAGGCTTTCCAGGCTCAGTGGCTATATGGCAGATGTCTGTGGGGTGCCTGTGGGGGATGGGCAAGAGTGTCCCCGCACAGTGTGAAGTTCGAGAGTGGCTGTGTGTTTCTGTGGGGTGTGTGGAATGAAGTGAATGTGGATGGGTGTGTGTGCTGTGGGTGTTGTCGAGTGTGCATTCTCAGTGCAGGTGTAGGTGTGAACCTGTGTTTGGATGTCCATGTGCAAGTGTGTGAGGAGGGCGGGAGGTGTGCAGCCATGGGTGAGAGGGTTGGGGTTCTTGGGAGGCTGTGCTCTGAGTGTGCCCGCCTGCTGTGTGTGTGTGTGTGTGTGTGTGTGTGTGTGTGTGTGTGTGTGTGTGTGTAGGCAGCTGTGGGACGGGGCTGGCTCTGGGGCCGCCCCCTGGGGGAGGTGTCTGCCGCCATCAGTGTCCCTGCCGGCCCAGCGCCTTTGGCTGTTGGGGCGCGGGCGCGGCGCGCACCCTCCAGCCGTGCTGCCTCCTTCGGCACGCGCTGCCCGCCCCCTCGGGGCCTGCGGCCCCGGGGGGCGGGCGGGGACTGCCGGGCTCCCCCTGCGGCCCAGGGGGCTGGGGACACCGCCCACCGGGCTCCAAGCCGGTCCAGCAGCCCGCGGGCCGAGCGGGAGCTCGAGCAGCCGCCAAACCCGGTGGGCCCCGCGGGGCGCAGCGCTCGTGGGCAGCGCGGCGTGGCGCGTGGACCGCGCGGGCGCAGGGGGCTGGCGCTGGGCGCGCGCCGTCGGCGTGGACTGCAGCTCCCCAGAGCCGCGCTGCGTCTGGATGCCCTGCCTGGGCCACCGCGGGCCGCACCGGACTAGGGTGAGACCCGCTGCCAGGAGGTTTTGGGGAGTTGGGGCCCCGGGACTGGGCGCGTGGGTTGGAGCCCACCGGGGTGCTGCAGGGAGCCCCGGGTCTGGGCAGATGCCTGGGGGCTCAGCCCTCTTAAGGCAGGCAGGCAGGCAGGCAGTGGAGGGACAGAAGCGACTGGTGGCATCTAGGGATTCCAGAGTCAGTTGGGGTTGACAGGGAGCTCTTGACACCAGCACTGGTACGTGGAGCAGTAGTGGGCAGTCCCATGCGCCAGGGGGTGGGGGCTTCAAGCAGGAGGGTTCCCCAGGGGTCGAAGGGCGCTGAGGAGGCAGGATGGCCCCCAGTGGGCTGTGGCGATGGGCCTGAGGATGCGTTCTGCTGTCGGGGATCTGCCGGGTTGGTGGGGCATGAGTCACAGTGGGCACTGTGCCCGCCCCAGAAGTGTACTCCCTGCAGTGACCTCTTCATGCTCCGGGGGGTGGGGGTGGGGAGGAGCTGCGCTTCTGGGTTCTTGTTCTTGGTGTTGTCAACCTACTATAGCACTTCTGTGCCGCCTGGTGGTACCACCAGCAGGTGTCCCTTGATATCTCTTCCTGGCAGGATCTGGGCTAGGAAGCCTTAATCAATAATGTCCTGGGCCCCCGGGTGTCCCCTGGGTCCCCACACCTCAGTGCCTGTGTCTGAGAGGCATAGCTGGTGAGTGTGTGAGCCACACTGTGTCACAATCTCGCCATCTTCTGAGCTTGCCACGCTAGATCTTTCTGTTTCTGTATGTGTCACCTCCTGCTGGAGTGGCAGCAGGGCCCAGAGTGACCCAGGTCAGAGGGGATGAGTGGACATTGTTTGTATGTGGTAAAGGATTGAGGTGAGAGTTAAGAGTTTCTAGCCAGGAGCCTCTGCTCTGGCTGGGTTTGTGACAGCTCTTCTCCCAGCTGGGTATTGGTGACATTCATGTAGCCTGTAGGAAGAAACAGGGAAGGGAAAGGCAGAGATGGGGGGGGGTGCCAGAGAGTGTGGGTGAGGGGAAGACTTGAGCGAGGAGGATGGCACCTCAGTGCCCTGAGGCTGCCCGCACATCCCCTCCCCCCCAGGGAGGAGCACCCCAGGCAGCTGGCGGCTCCAGGCAGGATGTGTAGGGGGGGGGCATGCGGGGACCTGTCCCAGCCACTTCTCATCACTGGGGCAGCTGGTGGCTTAAACCTTAATCCAGGACACCAGCGGAACAATGGCACTATGAACAGCTCTGTGCCTGGTGGGGGATAGGCAGGGGGGCTGCCTGCATTGGAGCAGGAGCTTCTATGGGGGGCAGAAGGGGTCCTCCAGATCCTCCTCTCTGATTAGCTCCTTGCTGGCTGGCAGAGTAGGAAATGGAGCAGATTTCAGACCTTTGTAGGATCCACCGCAAATCTCTGACCTCCCAGAGACTCTTGGGATGAAGACTGCAACAGGAAGGAGCTGGGGACATCCCCGAGTCGTCCCCTTCAAGGTGTCTAGTTTAAGGGTGATCCAGATCTGGCTAGGTCCATTCTGTGAATGGGGAGCCCAGCCCCACTGTAGATTTTCCTAGGCTGCCTGATTCTGGAGTCTGCCCTGCGTCAGCCTTCCACCTGTCTGAGGCAGATCCAGAGCCACGTGAAGTCCATATGCCCACGTGGGCAGAAACATGAGTAACTGCAGATAGGCATGCATAGACACAAGATGCGTGGCCCACATGTGTCCTACAGGAATGGCAGCAGGAATGTGGGGACTTCTAGCTGTCTTCTACTTGTTCTGTCCCTTGGGACACGACACAGCTCCTGCCTGGTTGCATAGCCCCTAAACTTGCCAGACTGTCTCGGCCTCCTGCCCATGCTGAAGGGGCCAGGACTGCGTGAACCACACTGGCAGTGAGTGACCCTGCAGCATAGCCCACTGGGCCTGTGGGTGTGGCTGGGGCTCTGCCCTAGGTGGAGAGACGTGGGGTGAAGTGGGAGCCCTGCGCCCCAGGACTGAGGCCTTCCTCCCTCAGTGCAGGGCGCCAAGGAGGAGGGAGGAGCTGAGCACCCTTGGAGATGGGGCTGTTGTCCCCAGGAGTCTGATGAGGGCCAAGCTAGGCTGCCAGTGTTGGGCAGTGTGCCCTGGGGGCCTCTCCTGGATGCCCATCTTCTCTGTTGGCCTCTGTGCACAGCCTCCATCATCCTCCTGTCACCCACTGATCTCTGTATCCAGGAAGACATGAAAGGGTCTTCTCTCAGGTGCCACCTGACCTCTTCTTGGGCACCATTGCCATCCCAGCCCTTCCCAGGAACCCAGCCGGGCTCTGGGACCTGCAGTTGTTCCTTCAGCCCCATCTGATGTCCCCTCTGTGCCCCAAAGCTCCTGGTCCCCACGTTCCTGCTGCCATTCCTGTAAGACACATCTGGGCCACGCATCTTGTGTCCACGCACGCCTGTCTGCGGTTACTCCATGTTTCTGCCCACGTGGGCGTGTGGACTCGACCTGGCTCTGGATCTGCCTGCCTGTGTTTGCTTGTGTACTTGTGTGTGAGCACTGTATTCTGTTTCTGTGTGTGCGTGTGCGTGCGTGTGTGTGTGTGGGTACATGGGTGTGAGTTGTGCATGCTCTGGTGGCAGCAGGCTCCTCCAGGGAGGAAGGCTGTGGGCGTACCTTGTGTGGAGTAGGTGCTCAGTCAGTGTGTCACACTGAGTGCACACCTGGTCCTGCCTGGCTTTTGAGGCAGGGACATCGCCAGGGGCTGAAGGGAAACGGAGGCTGGAGCCACTGAGCTGATGTGGGGAGAGGGCGAGAGCAAAGGGGGGCCTGTGGTCCCGGGCAGGGTGCCAGCCACCTGCCACTCACCCTTCCTCCCTGTGTGCCCACAGTTGCCACTGGGCCCAAAAGATGGGTGCTCTCCTGGGCGCCCGATGCCCTGGCAGGGGCCAAGGACGCTGCTGTTGCACAAGAGTCTCCAGGACGGCTTCGGCTTTACCCTGCGGCACTTCATTGTGTACCCGCCAGAGTCGGCCATCCACTGCAGCCTGAAGGTAGAGGCTTGCCTGCTGGCCCTGGAACCCAGAGGCTCCCTGGGGTGGGGCTCTCCTGGGGTACAGCCTGAGCCCCCCTGACAGGGCCCAGGAGGAGGGCTGCGGGGGCTGGGTGCTAGTGCCGTGTGTCCGGGACAGACCTCTGCCACAGTGGACTGGGTTTCCCCAGGAGAGGGACAACAACTGGTTCAGGGCAGGGGACCCGGAGGTGGGAGCCAGGTGGCCTTTCTGGAAAGTGAACAGCTGTTTTGGGAAAGTTGGGCCTCCCCTGGTGGCTTCTGAGCTGGGCCTGTGGTTCCTGTCCCTGGTACTCACAGTCTGCCCCAGTATGCCTCAGTGATCCTTTCCAGCATGCCCCAGGCCCTTGCGGGCCTCTGTGACCCTTCCAGCACGCCTCAGACCTGCAAGGCTGCAGTGGGGCTCTGGAAAGAGGCTCAGGGTGGGACAGAGGGCCTGTGGTCATGGGACACCTCCTGAGGCACTGTGGAGTTGCCTTTAGCAGCTTTTCTGCTCTGCCTGGGGTGCGTTTATTGCTTTGGTCACAGCGAACCCTTCCAGCCATAATGTAAATGTCTCCTTCTCTGGGAAACCGGCTCCTCAGCCAGCCTGAGGCTGTGGGTCAGGGCTGAGCCAAGAGGAGAACCAGGGCCCAGGCAGCTGTCAGAGCCCCTGTGAGGGCCTAGTCCCCTCTACCTGCAGGGGAGGAGAGAGATTCATGCTGGGGTCTGTAGCTTCCTCCAGCTCTGGAATCTGCCTGTCACGGCTGTTGGCTGTCTCCCTTGGAGACCTCTGTCTCACCTGCCAGAGAATGAGAGCATTTGGTTTTGGGGCCTTCCTGTGCTTCCGTGTCTGCACGTGTACATGTGTGCAGGCATGCCCCTCCGTAAACTCGTGTACGTGTCACTGGCCGCAGCTGTGTGTCAGGGTGGCAGTGGTATATGGCGCTGTCTCACTCCTTGTGCCCAAGGACACCTGCCCCTTCAGCCCCTGGAGCCGCCTCCTTCCCGGTCCCTGCTACCTTCACTCAGGAACCCTGCAGATGGGGGACAGTGGTGGCAGCAGTGTCCTAGAGCATGGGGATGCCCTGGGCTGGGGGAGCCAGGCATAGCCCTGTCACCTTTGCAGACCCAGGAGGATGGGGGCCCCGGCAGAGTCCCCGGCTTCCTTCTGCTGCCCCAAAGCCCATGAGGGCTCAGCCATCCAAGTAGATCCATTGGCTCTGCCACCACGCTCTCCACTGCCACCTCTCATCAGCATGCACCCCACACAGCAGGGCCCCAGCCTGGCTGGGCCACCAATGAGTGGTGGGTTCAGCCCTTGCTTTGAGAAGCCTCAAGTCAGGCTGAGGGGGCCGGGGAGATGGCTCAGTAGAATAAGTGCTTCCTTGGCAAGGGCCTGAGTTCAATCCCCAGTTCCTAAAAAAAAAAAGAAAGAAAGAAAAAAGAAAATAGGAAGTAAGTCAGGCTGTCGTCTGTGAAGTGGGCCTGCCATGGCTGTGGAGAGGGCTGTGAAATGCCCCGTCCTGCTGGCCTGTCCCTGACGTCCTCCTTCCCTCAGCCGGGGCTCCTCCCCACAGAACCCCACTTCCAGGATGGTCCCTGGGACCCCCTGAGGGTGCCGTGGCTCTGTGTCTTGCTGCCACAGAGACCACTGCCCTGCTTGGTGTCCCTGTCAGCAGGGCGGGCACAGCCTCTCCTCTGCCTGGACACTTTAGTCCAATTCCAGTCACCTGCTGTTGACAGCAGGTCCCTGCCCTGCATGTGCTTGCTTGTTCTGCCACCAAGGGTGTGTTCGACCTGTCCCCTCCCCGCATTCCCCTCCTGCCGCTCCCCAACATGCCCCAGCCCCTCCCCAGAGCCAGCTAGTCTGGCCTTCCCCACCCACCCATTCTCTGAGCAAGGGAGATAGCACTGTTGGCACTTGTCACCCTGCTTATCTGTGTCCCCTGCATTTCAGTGTGTGTCTCCCAGGGGACAGGGATAGGGTCCTGGAGCACTGGGTTCTCAGGTGGCTGGTGTGTGGGGGCCATGAGGGTGGCAGGTGGCTGGGGGGCTTGACCTGGGAGTTGGGGTACAGCGGGAAGCCCTCGCCCCCTCGACTGGCTCGCTGGGAGGAGGTGGCGGGCGCTGGGCTCTACACCGCTGAGGGGTAGGCCCACTCTGTTGCCGCAGGAGGAAGAGGATGGAGGCCGAGGAGGCCGAGGAGCAGGAAGAAGAGGTGAGTGGTGCTGGCTAGTGGAGGTGCCGGGGTCGGGCTATGTCTCTCCCACTCCCGTCTGCCGTTCTTCTCTTCCCTGTCCCTGGTCTGGGCCCTCTGGCAGCTCCCCCTTGCTTGCTCTCCTTGCTTGCTTTCCTTGTGTTGTCCTCCCTTGGGCCTGTCCCTTCTACAGACCCTGGCACTCTGGGTGGCCCCTGCATCCTCCTTGGGTTGCTCCTACCTCAAACCGAAGCCCAGGCCTGGGACTGCTGCTGGGGCCCTGAGACAGGCTGGCCTTACAGATAGAGCCAGTGGGTCCCCTTGGGAGTGGGGACCCCAGGTCTCCTTCCATGTCAGCCTTGCTGCCCAAGGGCTCCTTGTGAGCTCCCAGCCTCCCTGGGTGCTTGGGGCAGCTTTCCTGCCCTGTTCCTGGGTGTCTGCAGGCATTCCTGGGACTGTCCTTATGCCCCAAGGTGGGAGGGGGCTGAACCCACACTGTAGATGACGTTGCCAGCAGATGTGAGCATGTAGCCAGAGCTGCCTCCACCCAGTGGGACAGCACCGTGAGGTGTGACGGGGTTCCAGCCTGCCCAGGCACTCGCTGGGTTCCAGCCAGGGGAATGGAGTGGGCAGGAGGTGTGAGTGTTGGGTGCGCACTGGCATGTGGGGTGCCTATTTCTCTGGGTGCGGGTTATTTATTTCCTGGGCTATGTACGTTCAGGACTTGATGTGGAGCCTCGTTGCATGGCACCTGTCATGTGTCTTTTTCTGTTTTTGAATTGTTTTTTTTTTTTTGTTTTTTTTTTTTGGCAGAACCAGGGATTGAACTCAGGCCCTTGCGCTTGCCAGGGAAGCGCTTATTCCACTGAGCCATCTCCCTGGCCCTTGTTTTTGAATTTTTGTGGCAGGATCTCACTATGTAGTCCAGGCTGTCTCATAGCAGTCCTCCTGCCTCAGCCCCCCGAGTGCTGGGATTACTAGGGGGTGCCACCATGCCTGGCGAGGACTGTGTCTTTGTGTCCCTTCAGCCTGCTTCCTGATAGGGTGTCTGTGGGCATCTGCACAGCTCTCTCTGTGGCCTTGTAGGTTTCTGTCCTCTTGCTGGCACCCTGTGTGTCCCGGATCTGGCCCCTGGGTCCTGTGAACAGGCGTGAGTGTGCGTGTGCCATGTGCCGTGTATGCGAATGATCATTCACAGTGCCCCGCGTCGCTGTGCGCGGTGTGACCCTCAGCAGCCACCCCGCTAACCTGGCTGATGCTCTGCAGGCCCTGCCCCCCGGCCCCGCCTGGAGCCCATGGACACCATCTTCGTGAAGAACGTGAAGGACGATGGCCCTGCACACAGGGCGGGGCTTCGCACAGGTAGGCGGGTTCCGGCCCTTTGCTTAGGGCGGAACACCCCCCCCCCCGCGGCTGTACGTGCTGGCCTGCTGTACCCCCTCCTTTCATGCGTGCCCGCCTTGTCCCCAGGAGACCGGCTGGTGAAGGTGAATGGGGAGAGCGTCATTGGGAAGACCTACTCCCAGGTCATCGCCCTGATCCAGAATAGGTGAGCCCTGCCCCCCGGAGCCCCCAGGTCCTGGCGGTCGGGTCCCTGTCCTCCGCCGGGCCTGACCTTGGCCCTGTCCCTGCAGTGCCGACACCCTGGAGCTGTCCATCATGCCCAAGGATGAGGACATCCTCCAGCTGGTGAGTCCTGCCCCTGCACTGCCAAGGCAGTGGCGCCCACCGTCCTCCCTGGGCCCTGCTCCGGAAGAAATCGCCACCCGGCATTGCCCAATGGGGCTGTGGGCCGCTCCCTGGGCAGGGCTGCCTCTTGCTTCATTTGGGCTGCTCTGTGCCCAGGAGAGGGCAGGCGCTGGCCTTGGCAGGCAGGATTCCTGACCAGGTGCTGGAAGGAGGTGGCCTGGCGGGCCCTGCCAGACTGGTGCGTTCCTGTTGGTGCCTGTGAGAGGTGCCTGTCCCCATCTCCTCCCTGCCTGGCCCTGCTGAGCCATCTCTGGTGACCCACATGGACCGGGTCCCCCAGCGTACCCCATCACCAGGGGCACACATGGGTGGCTGCAGGACAACACAGCCCCAGCATGGCCCAGTGACACCCAGCACCTGGGCCAGGCTGTAGCACATGTGCCCTCGTACCACCCGACGGGCCGATGTCACAGCCCACAGAGCTGGATATCAAGACCCTATGTCCCCATCCCAAGGCAGGAGCACCATAAAAGGTCGCAGCAGGACCTGGGGCGCTTGCTACATGATAGAAACACCAGCTGGTGCATTACCACAAGTGCGCACGCACACACACGCACACGCACACACACACACACACACAGCATGAGCCCCATGGTATCACAGGACCCCACATTTATCCAACCGGATGTGGGCCTGAGCCCACTCCCCCACCCTTGGGTGCACTCAGTGAATCACCACCAAAGGCCACGTCCACCAGATGCCACTGCCTCGGCCACACGTGGCCCTGTGCCCATAGCCTCGGGCCCAGAGCCTGGTTCCCTGACTTCATGGGTCCCTGCCATATGCCAGCTTGTTTGGCCAGAGGTCACCGCCCTGGGCCGGCAGCGGGCCATCCCGGCTCCGGGAGCCCGTGCCGTGCTTGCGCCCTGGACAAGCTCTGGCAATCACTGTAATCACAGTGTAGTGCTCAGCACCCGGCCTCTGGGAGCCTCCACCCCTGACCTCAGTTGTCCCCTTGTGTGTCCTGGGGAGGGGGAGGGGAGGGCTCCCCCAGGTCTCAAAAACCTTGCCTGGATGCCTCCCTCAGGCTGAGGCCAGGCTGGCTAAGATGGGGTGACAGGGCGGGACCAAGGTGCACCTTCTCCATCTGGCAGGGATAGAGGGTGTGTAGGACAGCAGCTCCCAGCCTTGCTCCCTGTGGGCTTCAGGGGGTCGGGAGCCCCAGGTGTTAGCATCTGGGGGCTGCACAGCACCCCCACCTCTGGCGGCCGAGGGTGGGGCCCGGGCATTCCTGTGGTCGAGAGCCAAAGCTGCAGGCCAATCGGGTCCCAGCAGCGGCTGACGCCACCGCCGACGCGCGGCCCCTCCACACCCATCCTCCACTCCTCCCACCGGCCCTGAGGAAGGAGCCGGCGGTGGCGCTGGAGCTGCTCGCTGGGCCAGGCAGACAGAGGGGCTGGGGCCCGGCCAGCGAAGGTGGCCACCGTGGGGGCTCAGGCGGGAGGGATGCTATCCCTGACGCCGTGATACAGGGAGCCCCGGGAGCCGGCAGGATGGCAGCAGGGAGAGGTATGCGTGGCTGTTCCCGTGTGTGCGCCTGGCGGAGGGGCGAGTGCGGGGGTGTGGTTAGCGCATCCCTGTCACATGATGTTTGTGCCTGGACCAGGGGCAGTTCTGCGTGGGCGTCGCATTGTGTCTGTGTGTAGGGTGTGTGTCTCCTGAGCCATGGTGTGTGTGTGTGTGTGTGTGCACGCGCGCGTGCGCGTGCGCGCGCACCTCCCACCCTCCACTACTTCTCTCCCAGTTGGCCCCCAGTAACTGGGCCAGGCTGGCCGCGGCCATCAGCCTGCAGTCTGTCCCTGGGGGACACCTCCTTCTTTGGCAGGGCCTGGGCGCTGGCCCTGTCATTCCTCAGCAATGCAGCGTCAGCCTTGGCAGCCAGTGCCAGATTTCAGGCCTAGGGGTGACAGACGGTGCCCAGGGTCCCTCCCTGGGCTGCCTCAGGGCTGGCCTTGAGGGGACAGGGGGTGGCACAAGCCCTCCTCACCCGGTGGCAGCCAGGCCCGGGCTCCAGATTGCAGCCCACCCCGCCCTGGACACGCCCCTTGGTGGCTTTCTTAGGTCCCAGCCACCTTCCCTGGAGTTTCCCGCCCCACCCACGTGGCTGTGGCCCTGGAATCCAGAGCACAGATATGAGGATATTTAAGGCTTCACACTGCCCCTGTTGCCTGCCCTGTCTGGAGGGTGTGTGTGTATGTGCGCCTGAGTGTGCATGCACCACTTCTTTGTCCTCCCCCTGGACTCTGATGCCTGCCGTCCCCCTGCTGAGCCCTCTTCTCTGGCCCCTTGCTGGCCCTTGGGGTCCTCTCATGTGTGTCTCTGTCTGGCCAGGCCTACTCCCAGGACGCCTACCTGAAGGGGAACGAGCCGTACTCTGGAGAGGCCCGCAGCATCCCCGAGCCGCCCCCTCTCTGCTACCCCCGGAAGACCTACGCCCCACCAGCTGGGCTGTCTGCTTGGGCCATGATGGTGCCTGAGCCCACCTCAGCCCTGCCCAGCGACCCCCGGAGCCCTGCTTCCTGGAGCGACCCAGGGTTCCGTGCCCCACCCGCTGCCTGCACCCCTCTAGAGCCCTCTTCCTCGGGGATGAGCCAGCCCCGCCCGAGCCTTGGTGCCTTCCCTTCCCTCCCCCCGGAGCCCAACAGCAGGGCACTACCCAGCAGACTGGAGTGCCAGCAGGCCCTGTCGCACTGGCTGTCCAAGCAGGTGCCCCGCAGGGCGGGGCAGAGCCGGTGCCCGGCCATGCCACCCCGGGCCCGCAGTGCCTCCCAGGACCGGCTGGAAGACATGAGTGCTCACCGTGCATGGCCCTGCTCCACATCGCAGGATGCCTTGAGCCACCTGGGCCAGGAGAGCTGGCATCGGGCTCGCTCAGAGGATTACCTGGGCCGGGCCACTCGCTCCGCTGAAGCCCTGGGGCCCGGTGCACTGGGGTCGCCCCGCTTAGAGCGCTGTGGTTGGGCCTCCCAGCGTCCTGCTGCCACCCGTTCGGCTGCCTGCCCCCCTCGGGACCTGCCAGGGCCTCAGTCCTCTCCTGCGCCTGGCCTTCAGGGCCTGGACGACATCGGGTATATCGGCTATCGAAGCTACAGTCCATCCTTCCAGCGCCGGACGGGCCTCCTGCACGCACTCTCCTTCCGGGACTCGCCCTTTGGGGGGCTGCCCACCTTCAGCCTGGCCCAGACCCCCACCCCATTCCCACCTGAGGCCTCTGAACCACCTCGGGTGTCAAGGCCTGAACCCAGTGCCGGGACCCTGGAGCCTCCTGCTGAGGATCGTCGCGAAGAGGTGGTGCTGAGACAGAAGCCGCCCACCGGCCGCAAGAGCCAGCTGGGCCCCACCAGACAGATGAACTTGGGGCTCGGGGACGAGTGCCCTGAGCCAGAGGCCAGTGGGCGAGGGGAGCGCCTGGGCCGGAGGGTAGCCCCTTTGGCCACCACCGAGGACTCTCTGGCTTCCATCCCCTTCATCGGTGAGTGACGCAGGGGCGGCCTTGGGACGCTGGCTGTCTGTGACCTGCTGTGCCCACCCATGTGTCTTCTGTGCCCAAGCGTGGGGTGGGTTCGGGTGGGGCCATCTTGTCTGTCTGTCCATCCATCCATTCTCTGCAGCATTCCCTGTTTCCCTCTCCCACCTCGTTCACTTGCACTTCCATTTTTCCTACCCCCTCCCTTCTGCCTCAGGTCCCTCCCTCCTTTTTGGGGGGGACAGGGTCTCTCTCTGAGGTCCAGACTGGCCCCCAACTCTCAGCAATCCTTCTTTGTCAGCCTCCTGAGTGCTGGGGTCACAGGCATGCGCCACCACACCTGGCCTCCCTCCTTCCTCCTCCTCTTTTTTTTTTTTTTTTTTTTGGTACTGGGGTTTGAACTTGGGGCCTTGTACTTAGCAGGCAGGCACTTATGCCACTGAGCCATCTCCCTGACCCTGTTCCTCTTTTTGTGTGCTCCTTCCCTTCACCTGTCCTTCCTGCCTGTATTCCTCTGGCGGATGGTAGCGTTAGGGCTGTGCAGGCTCCAGGCTGTCCTGAGTACTCTGCGCACAGGACAATCCAGGGCCAGGGATGTGGCACAAGGAGCTCAGGAAGGCAGGGAGGGTCCAGGGCCTAGCCAGAACTGGTGGGCATGGACGGAATGTTGGAAAGGACATTTTGGGCGTGACTTGAAGGACAGAGGCAGCCTGACCATCATGGGCTACAGGGGGACAGCGAAGGCCACCTACCTCCGGGCTGGAGGTCATGGACCCTGGGGCAGGAAGAGCGGAGGTGTCTAGGACCTGAGGTGCCCATGAGGGACAGGCAGGGTGGTGACATTGGCTTCTGGGGTGCAGGGGTCCAAGGATGGGTGGCGAGGGAGGCAGAGAGAGGCTGGCAGCTGCAGGCAACTGTCACTTGCACTGTGAGGGGAGAGGTGGCCCTGCCTTCAGGGCACCCCCAGTGGTTGGGAAAGACTATCTGAGCCTCAGGGAGCTCCGGTTTGATGGGCTGTGATGGGCGAGACACAGCCCGCTGCTGCCCGCAGGGTCAAGGGGCGCAGCACCCCCTGGGCAACCTTCTGCGGCATCACACTGCCCTCTTCCCACAGACGAGCCCACTAGCCCCAGCATCGACCTCCAGGCCAAGCATGTCCCCGCCTCCGCCGTGGTCTCCAGCGCCATGAACTCGGCCCCGGTCCTGGGCACCAGCCCATCCTCGCCAACCTTCACCTTCGCCCTCAGCCGCCACTACTCCCAGGACTGCAGTGAGTGCTGCGCTGGCCCTGTTCCCTCCCCACTGTCCCCGCTCGACCCTCCCTGGCCTGGAGGGCCTGACACGGCCGCTTTGCAGGCAGCATCAAGGCCGGGCGCCGCTCATCCTACCTGCTGGCCGTCACCACCGAGCGCTCCAAGTCCTGCGACGACGGGCTCAACACTTTCCGGGATGAGGGCCGGGTGCTGCGGTGAGGACCGAGGGACGTGGGTGGACGTCCTCCTCGAGGTCCCCGGGCCACTGCCCTCACCTTGCTCCTTGCTTCCCAGGCGCCTGCCCAGCCGCGTGCCCAGCCTGCGGGTGCTGCGCAGCTTCTTCACGGATGGGGTGAGCAGTGGGCGTGGGTGGGGCCCAAGCTGCCCCCTAGACTCCTGCTCCGTTCTCTCCACACCCCTACGCCACCCTCGTGACCACCCCTGTACTGGCTGTGTCACCCCTTACCGTCCACACCTCCCACCCAAGGTTTTAGCTCCTTTCCAGCCTGCTCTCAGCATTTGACTCACGTTTTGTTACTGTTTTTGTTTGTCTTTTTGAGATAGGGTATCTCTGTATGGTTGAGGGTGGTCTTGAACTCACTATGAGACCCAGGCCAGCCTCAAACTTGCAGCGATCCTCCTGCTTCAGCCTCTTGAGTGCTGAGATCACAGGGTTGTGCCTCCACGCCCTGCCCTTGTTTTCACTTTCCCTGGGGTTCTTCGAGCCTGCTGTGAAATTTCTCACCCATCCCATCATTGCGGGGTCCCTGGGACCCATCCCTGCGTGTCCCTGGGGAGATGCTGCCCATGTGTGTGTGGTATCCGCCTGGGCAGCTGGCTGGAAGAGACAGGGATGGCGGGTGGCGACGCTGATGGAGGGGCTGGAGTTGCAGGCCGTGGGACCCAGAAGCAAAGGGTTGGGAGCGAGCCAAGGGCCTGGAGTGCTGGGCAAGAGTTCTACCGAGCAGCTGTGCCCAGCACTGCGACTGTTTCTTGTTTTCTTTCTTTTTTAAAAAAGATAAGGTCTCCCCACATACTCCCGCTGGCCTTGGCTCATGGCGAGCCTCTTGCCTCAGCAGCCCCAGTGCTGGAATTATAGGCTGGCCCCACTTGTCTAGAGTTGTTTGTTTTTGTAGTACTGAGAATTGAACACAGGGCTGGGGCCTTCAAACTGAGCTACACCCCAGCCACATTTGGCTTTTTTTTTTCTTTTTTTTTGAGGAGGGACAGAATCTTGCTAAATTCCTAAGATGCTCAGGCTGAGCTTGAACCTGTGATCCTCCTGCCTCAGCCTTGCAGAGCGCTGGAATGACAGCATGTGCCAGCCCGTCCATCTGCACTGTGTATGGGCTGGAAATCCATTTGGATCTCAGGCCCTCCCCGCCTGATTCCTGGACAGCATTGCCACCTGGCTCACCCTTTATCACTTCCTCAGTTGACTTAACTCTCCCTGGATGTGTGGCCCTGCCCCTAGAGTCTGTTGACACCGTTGCTTCCTCTGTGAACTCCTCATGGACAGGACTACCTACTCTGCTCCCTCGGTCTTTGTTGATGTTCCCACTTCCCCTGTTTACTTAACTCCTCGTGGATAAAGTTGTTTCCCGCTTCCTTAATTCCTTTCCGGCTGTAAAGTTAAAGCAGCCTGCAGATCGGCTTTGGGAGGCGTGTGTTGTCAACGCTTCTCCATCACATCTCACGATCGCTCAGAGAGGCCGGGCCAGGCCCTGAGGCTGCACAGCACTTGGGGGACGCCTCAGACATGCACCAGGCCTGCGAGGCTGTCCGTTGCCTATGGGAATCCTGGCGCGCTGATATGGCAGGAGCCATCCTGACCTGCCCTGTGCTGTCTCCTCGCAGTCCCTGGATAGCTGGGGCACCTCGGAGGACACTGATGCCCCTTCGAAGCGACACTCAACCTCGGACCTCTCTGACACGGCCTTTAGTGACATCAGGAGGGAAGGGTGGCTGTCATACAAGCAGGTCCTCACCAAGAAGGGGAAGGTAAGACGGCGGAAGGCCGAGGCGGCGGGGTGGAGGTCAGGCTTGGCAGTTGCTGCGTTCACCCTGAGTTGCTGGAGGCAGGGATAGGGTCAGATCTGGTTGCTGTGGGTTTTGAATCCCAGCAGCCTGTCCCCCAGTGAGCCACAGGTCACCCTAAAAATGGCTCTGGGGAGCAAGGTGGGGTTTGAGAAGCCAGCAGAGCCTGAGCCTCTCCAGGACCAGCAGCCCATAAGCCACTCAGGCTCGGTATCTCAGGGTGGCAGAGGCCCTGGCACCCTACTGAGGGTCACGGCCCTGGGGGGGACATAGAAAAGGCAGCCCTGGAGGGGAGAAGGCCCGGTGGTGGCACCGTGAGACCTGGGTGAGAGACAAGGGCACAGTGACTAGGGCTGCGGGGAGGGTGGGGCGCAGGCAGGACCCAGAGACATGGGGGCTGGGGTGCAAACTTAGCGATGTGTTGTGGGTGGGAGGAGCCAAGAGGAGTGGCTGTCCCCCACATTTGCCCGGAGTGGCCAGGGCCCTTGGGTGGCTCCAGCGCCACCTGCCTGTGACTCAGTCCCTGATCTGTGAGTGGAGCCCATGGTCATCTCTGCTCCTGACCTGGGTCAGGGGACGAAGGAAATGATGTGGTGGTGGGTGCATCCTGGTATGGACCCGCCATAGCAGGCAGGAGGCCCCGGATCAGCCTCAGCACCAGAAAGTTCCGAATAATACATTTTGTTTTGCATTTTAGGGAAAGGTCTAGAGGGTGTTCAGGGTCCCACTACTAGATGGCACTCATAGTGATCCGCCTGTGTACGACCTCCCAAGAGCTGGGATTACAGGTGCGTGCCACCATGCCCAGTCTCAGTTGCTGTCTCAGTGTACCCCGGGGATGGGGCCAGCATGGCAGCCTGGGGATTGAACCCCGGCCCCTGTGCCTGCTTGTAGGCTCTTTAATCCGCTGAGCTATTTGACTGGCCCTGAATAATACATAACACATAAGTAAACTGGTTCACCTGGCATGGTGCACACCTACAGTCCCAGCACTTGGGACACTGAGGTAGGAGGAGTGCCTGCCTTGAGTTCAAGGCCAGCCTGAAATGCAAAATGAGAACCTGCCTCAAGAAATAAACCTATAAATAAATAAATAAATAATTACACCAATGGGGTGATTGCACCCGTGTGGTGGTTCATGCCTGTAATCCCAGCCCTTGGGAGGTTGAGGCAGGAGAATCGCAGCAAGTTTGAGGCCAGCCTGCACTACAAGGCAAGACCCTGTCTCAAAAAAAAAGAGAAAAGAAAAGAAAAAGAAAAGAAAAGAAAAGAAAAATGGCTGGCCAAATAGCTCAGCGGATTAAGGCACCTGCTTAGGCAGATGCACCATGCTGGCCTTGCCCCTGGGGTGTGCTGAGATAGCAGTTGAGACCGGGCGTGGTGACACATGCCCGTAATCCCAGCTCTTTGGGAGGCTGAACACAGAAGAATCATTATGAGTCTGATCTACATAGTGAGACCCTGTAGACCTTTACTAAAATAAAGTAAAGCCTGGGCTACAAAGAGAGCTCAAGGCCAGCCTGAATTACACAGCAAGACCCTGTCTCAAAAAGACCAAAAATAAATAAATAAAATAAAATAAAATAAAATAAAATAAAATAAAATAAAATAAAATCTCTAGGGCACTTGCAAGGCCTAACGGGGTGTGAATGCTGTGCGTTGTTATTTTGTGGATGGAGGAGAACACAATCTGTCGGGGCAGATGCCATGTTTTTCCCAGAAGGCTTTGGCTCACTGTGGTCAAATGGTTGTCCGGGCCCCTGTGGAGGTGGTGGCCGACTATGGTTGACTTTCCCACCCTTCTCCCGGGGTCTGTGACATCATGTTAGCAAGCATCTGGTGTTGGCACCCATGAGCTTCTTGGGTCTGTGACCCAAGGACAGGGTCATCTACACCAATGGCTGCCGGGAGGCGGTCCAGGCAGAGAAAGCATGTGGGGCCCAGGATTTAGGGGGCACAGACTCAGGATGGGGTCCAGAGGCTTTGCAGGGTGGTGGGATTGGGGAGGAGGTGTTGGGCTGTGCCCCGAGGGCCTAGGAGCCCAAACCAGGAGAAGCAAGGAGGCTCGTGGCGGTTGGGGCAGTGGCAGGGGATGCTGGAGCTGGTGCCAGGAGTGCCCAGGCCAGAGGTGGGAGACACGGGGTTTGGGGCACAGACATCAGCAACATGCTGGGGGGCTGTAAAGGGGGTGCGAGGTGTGACGCAGGAGACAGGGTCGTGCTGTTGTCTGAGTGGCAGGGGGTCCTGGTCACAGTCACGGTGAGAGGCCAGAGAAAGGGGCTTTTGGAGAGAGGCTGGGGGAAGGTGGACCAGACCTGGGTGTTGACAGAGGAGAAGCCTGGCCTGGTGCTGCACACCTGCAATTCTAGCCCGCAGAGGTCAAGGCAGGAGGCTTGCCATGAGTGCCAGGCCAGCCTGATTCCATAGTGAGTTCAAGACTAGCCTGGACGACTTATTGGGACCCTGTCTCTAAAACAAACGGACAACAACAAACAGCAGAGTCACAGCCCCACTGTATAGCCCAAGACTAATTCCAGGGACTTAGGAGGCAGAGGCAGGAGGTTTCCAAGTTCAAACCCAGACAGTGCAATTGAGTGGACCCCTGTTTCACAATGAAAGAAAACTTGCAGCGCTGCAGATGCAAGGGTCAGTCGCCAGCACTAAGCAAAGCACAGGTGATGGAGGGCCAGCCAGGTCGGCTGCGCTGTGTGAAACAGGAAGCAGGAGTACGGGGACACAACTTTTGTTCAGGACAGAGTGAGCCACCTGCAGGGTCCCCTGGGCTCCGTCTCCAGCTTCAGGGCCTTGAGTGCTTCTGGAGGGAACAGGGGCTCCCATCCCTCGCTGACCCAAACCAGATGTTGTTGTCCCCTAGGTCAGGAGTTGGAATTAGGGTCCTTGAGTCTGTGACAGATGCTGCTCTTATGCGGGGTCCTGTCTGCCTACTGCTGTCACCTGTCCTTCAGAGTTGAGATGGGCAGGCAGAGATCAGGGAAGAAATGTGATGTGTTCCTGCCAGGTGCCCCCAGACTCAGTAGCAGGGGACACTAAGGCCCAGGCCAGTTTGGGGAGTCCAAGGCCATCGGCTTCTTCAGTCTCAGGGGAGCCCTGGCCGCTGCCTCACTGTCACTCTGCAGTCCCCCCTGGTGAAGAGCTTTCTTCTTTGCTTTTTTGAGACAGGGTCTTGCTAGGTAGTCCAGGCCAGCCTTGAACTCGCGGTGATCCTCCAGCCTCAGCCTCCCGCAAGCTGGGGCCCCAAGTATTTTCTTTTCTGGTACAGGGAATCTAACTTGGGACCTTGCATTTGCCAGGCAGGTGCTGTGCAGCTGAGCTATCTGCCCAGCTTTGTTTTGGGGTGGTTCTTGCTGGGCGGCAGAGGCTGGCCCGGAACTTGAGATCCCCTGTGAGATCCGGGTCTTGGCCTTCACACAGCTGAGCACCTGGCCTGTGTTGGGCTCCCCCAGGGAGAACTCTGATGTCGGGGCCCCCGACGCCAGCCCACAGGTCCAGTGACCTCTGTAGGGGTGCAGTCATCCTGCCTGATTCAGCCAGGATGCGGCCCTATGTTGCGGGCAACAAGGACCTTGTAGCTTGTGCCTCCGTGGGTGCCAGTGGCCCCACTCGCCCAGGGGCCAGGCTCCAGGGAGTGGGTGGACAGGCACCCTGCGTGGGAGCTGGAGAAGGACCTGGGCCTGGCTGGGCAGTGTGATGTGGCCAGTGTGTGTGTGTGTGTGTGTGTGTGTGTGTGTGTGTGTGTGTGTGTCTGTCTGTCTGTCTGTCTGTCTGTCTGTCTGTCTGCCTGCCTGCCTGTCTGTCTGTCTGTCTGTCGGTGAGGGCGGGGGTGGCACAGGCCCCTGGTGGGGTGGTGCGGTGCTGCAGGGATGCTGGACCCTCGGGCCTGCAGGGAAGAAGGAGACAGCTACAAGGTGGCGCAGGCCCACGCCTTTCGTTGGGCGTTGGGGACCGAGGCAAGAGGGTTGTTAAGGAGGAGCGGAGGGAGACCCCGCCTCAGGAACGCGCCCGGCCCGAGGCCCTAGCGGGGAGGTCGGGCCCGGGGAGGGCGTCCCGCCCCGCGTCCTTGCCTGCTCTCACGCTGCCTCTCCGTGTCGTGTCTCCGCAGAAGGCGGGCGGCGGCCTGCGCCAGTGGAAGCGGGTGTACGCCACGCTGCGGGCACGCTCGCTCTGCCTGAGCAAGGAGCGGCGGGAGCCCGGGCCGGCGGCGGCGGGGGCTGCGGCGGCCGGCGCAGGTGAGGAGGAGGCGGCGGCGCCCGTCTGCATCGGCTCCTGCCTGGTGGACATCTCCTACAGCGACACCAAGAGGAGGCACGTGTTCCGGCTGACCACCGCTGACTTCTGTGAATATCTCTTTCAGGCTGAGGACCGCGATGACATGCTGGGCTGGATCAGAGCAATCCGGGAGAACAGCAGGGCCGAGGGCGAGGTGAGCCGGGGTCCCCAGGCTGGGCGGGCAGGGCGGCGGGACGGCGACAGGGCGGCGCGGCGGGCGAGCCCGCACGTGGGCTGGGGCGCTGATGGCGTCCGCTTCCTCTCCGCAGGACCCCGGCTGTGCCAACCAAGCTCTGATCAGCAAGAAGCTTAACGATTACCGCAAAGTGAGGTGAGGCGAGGCCGGCAGCAGCCGCCGGGTGCGGGCGGGTCCGAGCTTGCCCCTGGGCCGGGGTCTGGGTATGGGGCTGCCTGTGACCCACACTGCTCTCCTCTCTTCCTCCACAGCCATGGCTCTGGGCCTAAAGCCGAGTCTTCCCCCAAAGTCTCTCGTGGCCTGGGGGGGCTCAAGTCCGAGTTCCTCAAGCAGAGTGCGGCGTGGGCCCTCAGGACCCAGGAGCAGCCTGCAGGGGGCAAGGGTAGGTGGCTGCAGGGACAGGGCGCAGCGCATGTGGCCTGGGAGGTCTTGGGCTGGGAGGGCCTGTAGCCTCATTCTCCAGTGACTCCCTTGTCCTTGGAGTCTGCAGGCATCCCTGGGTCCCCCGCCCTGGAGGAGCCTGGCCCTCTGTGCGCTTCTGGCTGTGTTACTTCGGCTGTAGCTGAGCGTGGCTCTCGCCTCCACCTCACAGTGTAGCCCTGGGCCCCGCAGCAGCCCTGGAGGGCCTGGAGCTGCTTTCTGTGGTGCAGGTGTCCCCACCTTGGGCTTCTGCTGGGGATGAAGTGCCACTGGTGGGGTCCCTGCTTTGTCCCATCCAAAGTGGCCACTCACCTGTCCCCTCTGCCCTTCCCACCCTAGATGACAATATGGCTGCCCCCAAAACCCCCTGGGGCATCAACATCATCAAGAAGAACAAGAAAGCCACACCAAGGGCCTTTGGAGTCCGGCTGGAGGAGTGCCAGCCTGCCACGGAGAACCAGGTGGGCTTCTGCTGTCCCTGGGTGGATGGGTGGGCGGGCAGGCAAGTGGGGAGACTGAGGCTCCCAGGCAGGAGCTTCAGGACCCAGCCCAAGCCCACCAGGGTGAGGACTGGAGGTGGCAGGCTCACTCTATCCCCCTCACACTCGCCTGCCTCTCCCCAGCATGTGCCCCTGATTGTGGCTGCCTGCTGTCGCGTCGTGGAGGCCCGGGGGCTGGAGTCCACTGGTATCTACCGCGTGCCAGGCAACAACGCCGTGGTGTCCAGCCTGCAGGAGCAGCTCAACCGCGGGCCCAGTGACATCAACCTGCAGGACGAGGTGGGTGTGGCCGAGTCTTGGCCACGGAATTCCACTTTGCTGATACAAGGCCAGCTCAGAACTGCTTTAGATGCTGGGATTTTTCTTTGCCGTGCTGAGGAGCAAACCCAGGGCCTCTGCACACCAGGGCCACCCTTCACAGTTGAGCTACAGTCCCGGCACTTGAGGTCTCTTCACAGCGTGTAAGCACACAGCCGCGGAGCCGTGCAGAGAGGGGCTCAGGCTGGGTCGGGAGAACAGGCAAGGCTTGGAGAAGGGTCAGGCAGTCTGGAAGGGGCCAGGCAGACAGCTTGGGGGCAAGCTGACAGCCCCACCTTAAGCATTTGTAGCTGGGAGCTCCCTTAGGCAGCACTGCAGTTGGAAGTCTGTGGCTGGGTGTGGTGGCGCATGCCTGTCATCCCAGCACTGGGGAGGCTGAGGCAGGAGAATCACTAATTTGAGCCAACCCCGGCACCCTAGTAGCCACATTCTGTCTGTCTCAAAATAAAATTTAAAAAAGGGTGGGGGGGCCGGGGAGATGGCTCACTGGAATAAGCGCTTCCCTGGCAAGCACAAGAACCTGAGTTCAATCCCCAGTTCCGCCAAAAAAAAAAAAAAAAGGGGGTGGGGATGGAGTCCTTTAGTTCCTAACCCCAGAAAGAAAACACAGTTTAGAGCAGGGCGAGCGGTTCTTAACTGGTGCTCCCAGAGGGGCCGTGGGCAGGGGGGAGCCCCTGCTCTGCTGAGGTACCTTGGGTTTTCACCTGTGGTTCTGTGTGACGGAAGAGGTTCTGATGAAAAGGAAGTTGCCTAGAGAGCTACGAACTTGGCGTCCTCCCGTGACAGTCGCTGGCTGTAGGCGCTGGGGAGAGGAGGCAGTGGGTGCAGGAGGGAGAGGTGGCGGGAGCGCGCTGAGATTGAGGGGCCTGTCCAGGAGGGCTGTCCATGCAGGGCATGGCATAGCCCAGCCCCAGGGGAGGTGAGGGTGGACACGTGTTTGGCCGGGGAGGACGACACTGGAAGTCACTAGCAGCACTCAGGTGGACAACAGAGAGCTGGGGTAGTGCCTGATGGCTGCCGTTGTGGGGGCCTAGGGTAGGGGCTCAGGCGCTGGGAGGCCCCAGACCTGGGGGCTTTGAGGGAGCTGCAGCCAGAGGGGAGAAGGGGTGGAGCCCTGGCAGAAGTGGGGTTGGAGTGAGCAGCTTTGGGGGGGGCAAAGGAAGCGTGGGTCAGAGTGCCCTGTTGAGTTGCGTCAGGATCTGGGGGAGGGACGGACATGTCCACGCAGGAGTCCCGTTGTGGGGTGCCAAGGTGAGCCGGGGTCCTGCGACCTTGATAAGCGAAGGTGTTGAGTCTAAGCCGCAGAGCCCCGGGATCCCTCCCCGAGGTGTGGGGTAATAGCGCCCTCTTGTGGCAGCAGCCACCCATTTTTGCGACAGGCTCCTCTGGACCTGCGGTTCTCTTTGGCACCAGGACAGTATGCTGGGCAGGGTTAGCCCCATCCCCGCCTCTGTGCCTGGCAGAAAAGTGCAGCCAGCGCCAGGGCACGGGTGACCAGACAACAGGCATGGTGGCTGCAGTGGCCGAGGCCGCCAGGTGGGAGGGCTGTGTGGGTGGTGCCTCCTGGGACGTGCCGGGCTGGGTCCTGACCGCGCTGTCTCTCCCCAGCGCTGGCAGGACCTCAACGTCATCAGCAGCCTGCTCAAGTCCTTCTTTCGGAAGCTGCCTGAACCTCTCTTCACCAACGGTGAGCTGGGGGCGGAAGTTGGGTAGGGGGACCCCAGCCCCACCCCACTCTGACGGCCTGGGATTGAACCCAGGACCTGTGCACTAAGCAGCACCCCCAGCCCTCATTTTTTAATTTAATTAATTGATTAATTACTTTTAAGATAGAGTCGTCCATATAGCTCAGGCTGGCCTCAAAGTCACAGCATTCCTCCTGCCTCGGCCTCCCTGAGATCTGAGTGCTGGGATCCCAGGCCTACACCCCCATGCCTGGCTCTGGCCACCTTTTAATTTGGTTATTGTTTTGTGGGGTTTTTTTTTTTTTTTTTTTTGGTGGAACTGGGGATTGAACTCAGGCTCTTGCACTTGCCAGGCAAGCACTTATCCTACTGAGCTCTCTCCCAAGCCCCTGGTTATTGGTTTTGTTTTGCTTTGTTTTTTTTAAACAAGATCTCACTATGTAGTCCAGGCTGGCCCTGAACTCACTACGTATCCTGGGCTGCCCTTAAACTCACAGCAATCTTCCTGCCTCAGCCTAGGATCTGGCATTTTGGGATATTTTTAAAACACAAATGCAGGGGGCCTGCCCCTTAGCTCAGTTCTTTAAGTGGCTGCTTCAACAAAGCAGTCAGGCTCAGGTTGCTGTGGTTCGATCCCCACAACTCAAGCCAGCCAAACCTGCCCTGAAGGCATTCGGAGCAAATAAATAAATAACGAAACACAAATGCACCCGAGAACCTTCGATAGTGCAGAGGGGAGCAGAGTGCACTGCAGAGGCCAAGTCTGCCTCTCATGCTGGTTCCCAGGGTGACCCCCACCAACACTGTCGCCATTGCCGCTCCCTCCATTGCTCCCTGGGGCAGAGGCTCAGAGGCAACGTGGCCTGCCGCAGGTCACATGGGCCCAGGGTGCTAGGCACGCTCCACGCAGGCCATGCTCAGGGCTCCTCCCTGAGTCTCCAGGCGGGGTGCTGGCCCCACCCCGGCCTGGCTAGGCCTGGCTAGGACTGGCTAACTCGAAGTCATGCTGGTGGGGCTTGTCTGAGGCCATCAGGCAATGACG